CTACATTTTTCTAAATCTGTTCCAATGAAGACAACCTCATCTAGGTCTTGGATGGTCCTCATCCTGACTTTGGAATAACTATCGAATAAGGACAGACTGTTTGCACTCAATGACTAATATATTAAATATTTTTAGAAAATTCAAAATCCAAAATCCTTTTGCTGCTTTACATCTGGGCATCAAATTTATAATTTTTCATTTAACAGACATTGTATTCCAAAGCATATATGAAAATGATACAAGTGTAAATATATATAATACGGTGGAGAAAACAATACAAAATTGGTAGAACTGTCATTTTTTTCTTTACAAGGATCCATCAAGTGTTTTAGCACTAGATGCCATACAGTGCCAGAAATTCCACTGGTTTGAGCCGACATCAGCTTTACACATCATCTAACAGGACATTTTTCACTAATCTTAGCCCTTAACTGTTGAATATTTTATGTGGGGTTAGGATGTACAATACAATTTCCAATGAAACACAAATGAAATTGTTTAAAAAAAGCAATTTAATTTAAAGTCCTTTTTTACTTTCATTATAAGTGCTTAACAGCAATTTACAACAAAAATTTTTTTTTGGTGTATTTGATATTATTCAACAAATACTGTTGATACAGATTCCATGTCTTCTGAAGTCATACTAAAGCATTGTGTGAGAAATAGAAATTCACTGATAGCAAGTCACTGATAAACTTTCTCTCCGGTGAGCTGTTAACTTGAGAATGGGATTATTGCTGAGCTGAATTTGAGAACCAGATCATTCTGACTACTTGTATGAAGCTCTTTGTCCTTATTGAAGCTTGACAATCAAACTTTCATTATATGCATTAAGGATCCTCCAAAACTATGCGTTTGGGTTCCATTGAAAAAAACAAAACCAGCATATAGGTTTGTAACTACATGAGGTGAGTAAACAGAATTTTCATTTGTGTGAATTAGCTCAGTATTGAATTCAGAACATTGCTTTAACGCACCAAAATATTCAGTGTAATAGTTGTCCATTCTTTTAACACCAAAATGGAAAAAGCATCTTAAGAAAGGTAGAAGAGCATATTGATGATTTGTTCTATAAAACTCATTTTGCCAGTGAGTTTACTCATAGATCCAAAAACAAATGCTGGTGGAGCTGGTATCTGACCGCAGAGATGCTCTACAGCATTAGCAATGGAGAATCGTAACGTGTAAACCAAGGGAACGTTCAGCTCTTCAGCCACAATTTTGCTGCACATGAAAATCGGATCTGACAGAAGAACAACGTCAAACTTTGTCCATCAACTCACAACATGATATAGACACATCCTGATGTTTGGAAGCAAGCTCATAGAATTTAATTTGAATCTGCAGTAAGCTTAACTGATCAATCTCATACACTGAGAAATGCATTAGTTCATTAAGAGACAGAAAAACTGAGACTCATAAGAACTGCTGCAAAAAGTTAAAGATATTTCAACGTGTCCAACTGATATTTCCTACCAGCACACTAAAACAAAGCACAACTGTATTTAAACCAAGGTTGCTAAAAAGGTAAGATTGTTTAATGTTTTTGAAAGAAGTTTCTTATGGCCGCAATAAAAACATCAGCAAATCAACTACAGAATCCAGATGACACAATAGCTGGCCATTGAGGATACTTAATTTTAAAGAAAAAGGAAAAAGTCAGTGAAACCAGTTCATCTGGACCATATGTGACCCTGGAGCACAAAACCAGTCATAAGGGTCAATTTGTCGAAATTGAGATTTATACATCATCTGAAAGCTGAATGAATAAGCTTTCCATTGATGTATGGTTTGTTAGGATAGGACAATATTTGGCCTATTTGAAAATCTGGAATCTGAGGGTGCAAAAAAATCTAAATATTGAGAAAATC